CATTTTGATGCATATAGTAGAAACAATTTATACTTTTCATATAAGGAATTGACACGGTATATAAAAGATACAAGTTATACAAAATCATCAAATTCATATAAAAATTACAAGTTTGTAGGGTACAGCTGCTGCTAGGTCCATTCCAGAACTTCTAACGCTTCGGAAATGTGAAGATTTGAATCTCTGGAAAAGGTTTTTAATAATAATTTAAGAAATCATCTATTTGCTCATAGTCTTGTAATGAACATAAATCTTTTTTTGAGGGGAGTGGAGTTACTGTGGCTCGATAATACTCTGATGATTCCCCTCTATGTCAGGAGGGACCCCAGAATTGTGACTGAAAAGAAATGTTACTCATCAACTTGGTGGCAATGGCCCTTCTCCTTTCTGTTAGTACAAGTGTCTCCACTGGTGCTGCTCAATTAAAAAGGGAGGAGGTTCTAATGTCAGCAGAGGTGTTTTCAGTGCCCAAAAGTTTGGTTGAAGTTCCTTGGCCAGCTACCATATTTCCCTGAAAATAATTTTGGCTCGAAAAGACCCATTAGGGCTTATTACCAGGATATGTTTTATTTTTTTCATTTAAAGCGATCTGCATTTATTCATGTAAAAAACCCTATATTTATTCAAGTATCACCTTCTTCTGTCACCTTCTTCTGGTATGTCATCATAACTCTCCAAACCCTGAATTCTGGCCTGAATGACAAAAAATTGCAGACATCAAAAATTCAGAAAACGTTTATTTAACAAGAGGGCATTGAGAATGTCCATTACAACACATGGTGTACTGAATTATGAAGGTTCATATTGGACACATCCAGATCCCTTCATTATTAAGTGCTCACCTTATTCATGCATTGCGCCTGTACTCCAATTGGTCATTCAACAAAAAAGTCACAAACTCATCTATTTGTATAGATGTTCACCTCTCGTCAAAGGCATCTATGTAGGTATTTATAAAGATTTAATTATAATTAATAGTTTGTAATTAAGTATAAGGGGCATGCTGCTGGAGAGGTTGTGTGTGAGATGGGTTGGTGGGGGTTTGTGTGTTTTAAAATGCATTTTAATTGTATTTATTATATTTTAACTGTATTTTAACCTGACATACAGTAGCATTTTGTTGTTTAATTTTTGTACTCACTTTGTTTTAAATTGATCAGTGTGTGGTTATTAGCAGCTTTGAGTCCCCTCGGGGAAAAAGGTGGAGTATAGATAAGGTAAATAAAAAAATTAAATAAATGCATCCCAGGACGGGATCCCAGCGGAACTGTTTAAAATCTTAAAAGATGATGCTGTCAAGGTGATGCATGCCATATGCCAGCAAATATGGAAAACACAAGAATGGCCATCAGACTGGAAAAAATCAACTTATATCCCCATACCAAAAAAGGGAAATGTGAAAGACTGCTCAAACTTCCGTACAGTGGCCCTTATTTCTCATGCCAGTAAGGTAATGCTCAAGATCCTGCAAGGAAGACTCCAGCAATACATGGAGCAGAGAGTTGCCAGATGTTCAAGCTGGGTTTAGAAAAGGCAGAGGAACGAGAGACCAAATTGCCAATATCCGCTGGATAAGGGAGAAAGGCAGGGAGTTTCAGAAAAACATCTACTTCTGCTTCATTGACTATTCTAAAGCCTTTGACTGTGTGGATCATAATAAATTGTGGCAAGTGCTTAGTGGGATGGGCATCCCAAGCCACCTTGTCTCTCTCCTGAGGAATCTGTACAAGGACCAAGTAGCAACAGTCAGAACTGACCACGGAACAACAGACTGGTTCAAGATTGGGAAAGGCGTACGGCAAGGCTACATACTCTCACCCAACCACATCATGCGATGTGCGCGGCTGGATGAATGCAAAGCTGGGGTGAAAATTGCTGGAAGAAACATTAACAACCTCAGATATGCAGATGACACCACCCTGATGGCCGAAAGCGAGGAGGAGCTGAGGAGCCTTCCAATCAAGGTGAAAGAAGAAAGCGCAAAAGCCGGGTTGCAGCTAAACGTCAAAAAAACCAAGATTATGGCAACAAGAATGATTGACAACTGGAAAATAGAGGGAGAAACCGTGGAGGCCGTGACAGACTTTGTATTTCTAGGGCAAAGATTACTGCAGATGCAGACTGTAGCCAGGAAATCAGAAGACGCTTACTTCTTGGGAGGAGAGCAATGTCCAGTCTCGATAAAATAGTGAAGAGTAGAGACATCAGACTGGCAACAAAGATCCGCCTAGTCAAAGCCATGGTTTCCCTGTAGTCACCTACGGATGTGAGAGCTGGACCTTAGGGAAGGCTGAGCGAAGGAAGATGGATGCTTTTGAGCTGTGGTGTTGGAGGAAAGTTGTGAGAGTGCCTTGGACCACGAGAAGATCCAACCAGTCCATACTTCAGGAAATAAAGCCCAACTGCTCATTAGAGGGAAGGATAGTAGAGGCAAAGATGAAGTACTTTGGCCACATCATGAGAAGAAAGGAAAGCTTAGAGAATACAATTATGCTGGGAAAAATGGAAAGAAAAAGGAAGACCAAGGGCAGGATGGCTGGATGGGATCCTTGAAGTGACTGGATTGACCTTGAAAGAGCTGGGGGTGGTGATGGCCAACAGGGAGCTCTGGCGTGGGCTGGTCCATGAGGTCACGAAGAATCGGAGATGACTGAACGAAACAACAACATCATTTATTTTAAGTATTCATGTCAATAATATTATTTACTTGTAGTTTGAAGCCATTGTTCCGCGTCCTAGTCTCCAGGGCAGCAGAAAACAAGCTTGCTCCCTCCTCCCTATGACTTTCTCTCACGTATTTATTTATACATGGCTATCATGTCTCCTCTCAGCTTTCTCTTTTTCAGCCTAAACATGCCCAGTGTTCAATAAGGTTGAACACTATGAAAGCCATCCACTACATGGCTACCAGCCGCCTCCCAGTAGACTCAAATCAAGGAAAAGTTTTATGAGAACTACCACTCCTCTTGGCGTCCCCCCAGCAACAGCAAGGGTATCCCTCTGGGCAGCTAGACCAGGAAATCCCAACTGGATGGCCCCCAAGAGGGTCTTCCTTCAGGGGCAAACCAAGAATGGGCAACTTGGAAGTCCTTGAGCAGACTCAGAAGTGGAGTGGGCAGATCAAAAGACAACCTGGCAAAATGGCACTACCTAAAAGAATCCCATACTTTGTGTGACTGTGGAGCAGAACGGACAACTCTGCATCTGTATGCTTATCCACCATGCCCTGCCTCCTGTACAGAGGAGGAATTGTTGGAGGCTACAGACAATGCCGTTGCTGTTGCCCATTTTTGGTCAAAAGATATTTAGCCCCCTGTGCGCCTTTTATTTTTATCAGTTTTATACTAATTTATGCAATGCTTTTGATACGAAATAAATAAAAAGAGCACCTTCACTCCACCCCTTCCTCCTGTCATGTCAGCCACATGACCTTGGAGGTGTCTATGGACAACACCGGCTCTATGGCCTAGAAATTGAGCACCAACTCCCAGAGTTGGACACGACTGGGGACTTAATGTCAGGGGAAAAATTTTACCTTACCTTACCCAATATGCCCAAATTTGAACACTGCTGGGGTTGGAGGGAGAATTGATTATGTCATTTGGGAATTGTAGTTGGTGGGATTTATAGTTCACCTACAAAGAGCATTTTGAACTCCACCAATGATGGATTGGACCAAAATTGGCACACAGAACTCCCACGACCAACGAAAAATACGGGAAGGATTTGGTGAGCACTGACCTTGAGTTTTGGAGTTGTAGTTCACCTGCATCCAGAGAGCATTGCAGACTCAAACAATGATGGATCTGGGCCAAACTTGACACAGATACTCAATATGCCCCAATGTGAACACTGGTGGAGTTTGGGGGAAACAGACCTTGGCATTTGGGAGCTACTGGGATGTATAGCTCCCCTGCCATCAAAGAGCTTGGAAGGGTACGCAGGGGGCAGGCAGAAAGGCTGCGCTCATGGCAAGGGTCGGCAGCCATTTTGGTGGGGGCGGGGCCAACCAAGTCAGCTTCGCGACCCCCCTGGGGGTCACGACCTCCAGGTTGAGAACCACTGCTTTATATGGTTCTGACCCATCTTACTTGTCCGAACGCATCCACCCGTACATCCCACCTCGTAATCTAAGATCATCTGGGGAGGCCCTGCTCTCGCTCCCGTCAACAGCACAGATGCGCCTGGCGGGGACGAGGAGCAGGGCCTTCTTGGCTGTGGCCCCCTGCCTATGGAACACACTCCCAAATGAGGTAAGACCTACTCCCTCCCTCCTGGTTTTTAGAAAAAAAATAAAATCATTGATTTGGGACCAGGCCTTCGGGCAGTAGAAGTAAATGTATGCAGCATTTCGGAAAGACAATGACTGGAACGACGATTTGACGGACGAGACTGTTTTATTGTTTTAATTTAATGATTGTTTTATTGCTCATTGATATATTTTTCAATTTAATTTATGTCTAATTGTAGTGTATAATTGTAATTTTTTGTACTGGCGTTGAAATTTTGCCATTACTTATGTGTAAACTGCTTTGAGTCCCCCTCGGGATGAGAAAAGCAGTATAGAAATACTGTAAATAAATAAATAATACTTTGACCACATCATGAGGAGACAGGAAAGCTTAGGGAAGACAATGATGCTGGGGGAAATGGAAGGAAAAAGGAAGAGGGGCCGACCAAGGGCAAGATGGATGGATGGCATCCTTGAAGTGACTGGACTGACCTTGAAGGAGTTGGGGGTGGTGACGGCCGACAGGGAGCTCTGCCGTGGGCTGGTCCATGAGGTCACGAAGAGTCGGAAACAACTGAACGAATGAACAACAAAAAACTGCTTGATGAGGATGGGCCCTTTGAAGCCAGCGCTTTCATTGCCAGAGCTTCCTCCTGTGTGACTCTGGGATTGGTAGTTTGTTCTGTGAAAGGGAAAGGCATCCTTCCGGCGCCTGGAGGACTACACTTCCCAGCGTGCACTCTGCGGGAGGAGTAGACCGGAAGGGTTCTGTTCGACGCATGCGCAGTGGCCGGTACAGTTACCCGGCGGTCGGTCTCTCTTTTTCTCTGTCTCTCGCTCTTCCTCGCCTTCACTCTGACTCTTTCCTGACTGTGTCCCGCGGCAGAGGCCTCGTTTCTCTTCCGCTTCTTTTCCTGCTTCTTCTTCTTCCCTTCCGCAGCGCATTAACCGCCTCGTGGCCGAGTCCCTCCTTCCCGAGAGGAGCCGGGTAGCGGCAACGACGAAGGGGCAATGGCGGACACGGCGCAGAATGGGCCCATGCAGGGAGGCGCGGGCGGAGGCTCTGTGGTGAGTGGGTGCCGGAGAGGCAGGCCGGGAGGGGGTGGCATTCCTCGCCTCGGGGAACAGTTGCAGGCCTCAAGAGCGTACCCTCGGCGTGAACCTCGCGTGGGTTGGAGGGGCTGCCCCTGGGGGCAGCAGGTCCCTCGTCGAGGCCTCGCTGGGTGACCTTGGGCCTACTTCACAAGGTTGTGGGTCGAGGGAGGCGCCTGGCCTTTGAGAGGCGGTCAAAATATAAAATATAACCAGGCATGGATATCTCCTCTAAACTCTATGGGGAGGTCCTACGTGATATAGAATCAGAGTTGGAAGAGACCCCAAGGGCCATCCGGTCTAACCCCTGCCAGGCAGGAAAAGCACAATCAGAACACTCCTAACAGATGGCCATCCAGCCTCTGCTTAAAAGAGAAGGAGACCCCACCACACTCTAAGGGTCCTCTCAGACAGGCCCTATTTTCCAGGATCTGATCCCAGGTTTTCTGCTTTAAACTGGATTATATGAGTCCAGACTGCCAGATAATCTGGGATAAACGGAAAACCAGGGATCAGATCCTGGAAAATAGGGCCTGCCTGGAAGGGTCCTAAGACAGCACAGTCCACTGACAAACTCTTATCTAATGCTAGATGGCCTCCAATGTCTATAAATCAAAATGTAATGTTCATTTGTGGGATTAACATAATTCAAAAATCACTGAGTGAAATGACACCAAATTTGGACACAGTACACCTATTAGGCCACCGAATGACCATCACTCATAAAAGCACTGAAAAACGCAGTGGAAGAGACTTAAAAAGCAAAATAGTCCACTGACAAACTCTTATCTAATGCTAGATGGCCTCCAATGTATGTAAATCAAAATGTAATGTTCATTTGTGGGATTAACATAACTCAAAAACCACTGGGCGAATTGACACCAAATTTGGACACAATACACCTGACAGGCCAAGAAGTGACCATCACTCAAAAAAAAAAAACCACACTGAAAAACACAGCAAAAGAGACTTAAAAAAATTACAACTCATGCGCAAAACCACATATGTATATATGCAAACACATATGCACAAATATATACACACATATATACACACACAAAACACATATACACAGACTGGGCCACAGCAACATGTGGCAGGGGCAGTTAGTGGAAAATATATACTTTGTGCACTGGCAACTCTTCTCTTTGTGTATGACTGATGACTGGTAGATATACTGAAGGAACTCCCTTGTACTATTTTTATGTATGTGCCACAGTAAATCATTACCCACAGAAAGGTCCTCCCAGACCGTTTTATGTTACTATGGGAAATACCTTTAGTAGTTCTGTAGTTCCTGAGAATACTTGCCAACAGGTTATATAGGGACACCCATAATGTTGTAAATTTGTCATGCCTACTGAAAGATGTAATCACTGTCATAGCCATGGGGTAAATGGGCAATATATTTTCATGCTGCGATCAAGAGAGCATGGTGTTTTACTTCCTTGTATTTTGTATAGACATTTGGGGATTTCCTGCTCCAGTCAAGCAAGTGGGAGAGTGCACCAAACAGCATCATACTGCTGTACTGCTGTCTTGGGCACTTGTACAGGGCAGGCTGATTCCAAAAATGGCACCAGTTTTCCCCTATCAGCCCTAGTATTGGAGAAACAGAATATATGCCATCTACCAGTCTCCATCTGCTCATCCATAGAAAACTATGATAACCATAGCTAAGAAATTAGAGCTGATGTGTTCTATCCAATGCAATTTTCTGAATCAGTTCCCCAAATAACTCTAGGAATAGACCTGAAATACCAAGAATTTTGTTTTGGTTGGGCTGTGTTATGGATCTGGAATGCCTTTGTTCTTCAACAACTAGTATCAGATATTTTTTGTACTAACCACTTTTCCTTTCATTATAGCAATTTCTGATGACTAATAAGTTGGACACAGCAATGTGGCTTTCTCGAATATTCACAGTTTACTGTTCAGCATTATTTGTCTTGCCTCTTCTAGGGTATGTATAACCATTTTCTTAACAATAGTACAGGCAGTCCCAGAGTTACAAACATCTGACTTAAAAAAGGACTCATAGTTATAACGGGGGTGAGACAACAGGAAGTGGGAGAAATCTACCTTTAGAAAGGGAAATTCAGTCCTGAATGAGTTGCGGGGAAAAGGCATCTCAATTGAAGCTTTATCAGCAATCCTTATTTCTACAATAAGGAAAGTTAGGTGCATTCTTATTAACAGGGGCATGCATATATATAATATATATATATATACATACACACACGCACACATATTTTTGGCTGAAGTTACATTTAAAAATGTACCTGTTCTGACTTCTAAATAAATTCAGCTTAAGATCAAATCTACAGAACCTATCTGTTGTTCATAACTTGGGGACTGCCTGTACCGGGATCTCTATAAATAATGTTGTATTTCTTAGGAATAATCTGGAGTAGAAAGATAAATAGTATTTCAAAGCACAGTATTACCACTTTATTTTACTTATGTAAACTCGCTGGGTGTGATCCAGCTGAAAATTAATACTTGGGTGTCTTGTTATTTTTCATGATTGAAATCAGAGCATGTCCTGAACTCTCCCAATGTTGAACTATGATCATTACTTTAAATATATTGCTAGTTTATATTTATTTCTATGTACAGTGTTCCCTCACTTATCGCGGGTGTTCCATTCCAGGACCACCCACAATAAGTGAAAATCCGCAAAGTAGAGAGGCTCCGCTCATTCGGCAGTGGCCTCCTCCTTGCCACCTCGGAAGACCCCTTGGGCGCCATTGATGGCACTGCTAGGCTGGGCTGAGGCCTCAGCCCAGCCTGGCAGTGCTGTCAACTGAGCCCAAGGGGCTTCCAAAGCCAGGAGCAGCAGAGGCGGCGAGGAGGAGGAGGCCTCCTCCCTCCTCCCCCCCCCCTTCGCGGCTCTGGGGAGGGGGAGAGAAAAAACCACGAAACAGCAAGTCGCAATAAGCAAACCGCGAAATAGCGAGGAAACACTGTAATACTTTTTTGTGTTTCTTCTGTAATTTGTGTATATAGTGTATACTCAGCCCTGGCAAGCTGACAGGCTTATGAACAATTTATGAACAACAATACATAGGTAGTAAAGTGAGTGCAGGTTATTCAGGTTCTGACACTTACCCTTGTATAAAGTTTTTTTTTTAAAAAGTAACATTTTGGTGATACATAGTATTTATATACCTTTTCTCCCTCTAGCGAAATGCCAAATAGAACACATTTTTCATGATGTCAGGAGGAGGGAAGGGAGAAGGATAGTAGTGCAGTGTTTAGTGTCAATTGCAAGGAATCCTCTCAGAAGAAATACCAGGCACGTCGTCCTCAGAGGCAGTGCAATTATGATGCAATGCTCAAGGGAGGAAACATAATGCTGTGGTTTCGTTTGTTTGGTAATCTCTCCTTTAATAATTCCAGGTTGCATGAAGCAGCTAGTTTTTATCAACGTGCCTTGCTGGCAAACGCTCTTACCAGCGCCCTCCGACTTCACCAAAGGCTACCACACTTTCAGTTGAGCAGAGCATTCTTGGCTCAGGCCTTGTTGGAGGACAGCTGCCATTATCTTTTGTATTCCCTCATCTTCGTTAATTCCTATCCTGTTACAAGTATCCTTTATACAAGTATTTTCTGTGAAATTATCATGCTTTTCTTCCAAAATGTTTTGCTTGTAGTGGTTACATTTCTGGGCTTTTGATCAATGAAGAGCATGTTTCCAATCTTCACTATGTTGTAAAGTTTGCTCTGAGGCCCCTTCCACACAGCTGAATAAAACCCCACATTATCTGCTTTGAACTGGAATATATGGCAGTGTAGACTCCGATAGCCCAGTTCAAATGCCCAGTTCTGGCATTTTCTGCCTTGATATTCTGGGATATAGGGCTGTGTAGAAGGCCTGAAATGTCCAGGCAATTAATATCACTCACTATTACAGACCTCATAGGGTTGTTGTGAGTAGGTAGGTGGGTGACCAAATGTTGCTCTTCTCCTTTTAGAAGAACGATCAAATAAACTACCGTAAAAACCGGGGTAATAGACGACTTTTTAAACCTTTAAAATCCTTTGAAAACTTGGGGGTCGTCTTGTCTTCCGGACATATTAGATGACGAATGGCAGTGGAGCCGAGGCAGCGGAGGAGAACATCCGCCCGCAGCGGCCTGCCCTCCGACCTCCTTCCTCACGCTGCCTCTTTCCTCACTGGGCCCAGCTGGGGCCCAACGGAGCGTCTGGCACCTTTCCCTCCTCTGTCCTCGCCCCGCAGATGCCTTCCTCGGCGGTGGAGGTGCACACGGGATGGGAGAGGAGGGAAAGATGCACCCTGCGGAGGCCTGCGCTGTCTTCTGCAGCTGGTGCACACCTTTCCCTCCTCTCTCATCCCGTGTGCGCCTGCTGAGGAAGGCATCTGCGGGGCGAGGACGGAGGAGGGAGACCTGCGCTGGTGAGCGCGCTCACCCCTGCTGCTTCTGGAGAGGCTTCCAGCATGTCTACAGGCTCCTGCAGCAGCGCGGCGTGGGCCAGACGCTCCGTTGGGCCCCAGCTGGGCCCAGTGAGGAAAGAGGCAGCATGAGGAAGGAGGCCGGAGGGCCGCCTTCCTCACGCTTCCTCTCTCCTTCCTGGACCCAATTGAGGCCAATGGAGCGTCTGGCCCTTCGCCTGCCCCGCTCTCTCGCCGATAGCGAGGGTGCAAGGTAGGCGAGGAGGCCTCCGCGCGAGGCCTGGCGTTGTGTAAGCCCTCCTCGCCCGCCCCGCTCTCTCGCCAATGGCCATCGGCGAGAGAATGAGGCAGGCGAGGAGAGCTTCCGCGATGCCAGGCCTCGCGCGGAGGCCTCCTGGCCTGCTTTGCACCGTCGCCATCGGCGAGAGAGCGAGGCAGGCCAGGAGGCCTCCGCGCGACGCCTGCCGTCCCAGAAGCCCCTTGTCGCCTGCCTCGCGCTCTCGCCAATGGCCTCCGCGCGAGGTGAATGGGGAAAGCAACAGCGTGAGAGGAGACTGAAGGGAAGAGAAGAGGTTGCAAGGCAAGCGAAAGAGCGAAGGAACAGGGACCCAGATAACCCAGTCCCCTTCCACACAGCTGAATGAAATCCCACATTGTCTGCTTTGAACTGGATTATCTGTGTCCACACAGCCAGATAATCCACTTCAGTGTGTATTTTATGCAGCTGTATGGATGGAGCCCCAAATAACCCAGTCCCTTTCCACACAGCTGAATGAAATCCCACATTATCTGCTTTGAACTGGATTTCTGAGTCCACACAGCCAGATAATCCACTTCAATGTGTATTTTATGCAGCTGTATGGAAGGGGCCTCAGATAACCCAGTCCCCTTCCACACAACTCAAGTTTGGTCCAATTTAATTGTGGTTGGATTTCAGAATGCTCTTTGATGGCTGGGGAACTAAACACCCCAAGTCCCAAATGCCAAGGTCTATTTTCCCAAAATCTCTCCAGTGTTTTCTGTTGGTCGTGAGAGTCCTGCAGGCCAAGTTTGGTCCAATTTAATTGTTGGAGTTCAGAATGCTCTTTGATGGCTGGGGAACTATACATCCCAACAACTCCCAAACGCCAAGGTCTATTTCCCCCAAACTCCACCAGTCTTCAGATTTGGGCATACTGAGTATTTGTGCCAAGTTCTGTCCAGATCCATAGTAATTTGGGTTCACAGTGCTCTCTGGATGTAGGTGAACTACCTCTCCCATAATTCACTATCAATTCCTCCCAAGCCCCTCCAGTATTTTCTATTGGTCATTGGGGTTCTGTGTGCCAAGTTTGTTCCAGGTCTGTAATTAGTGGGGGTCTCAGTGGTCTGTGGAAGTCAGAGCTGCATCAGTTGAAGGTACTGCAAATCCCATCATCCATTGTCTATACTCCCACAAATATATTGTTTTTGTGATTAATCACTATGCTTTAATTATGTTCAATTTGTAACAATGAAAATACATCCTTCATATCAGACATTTACATTACATTTCATAACAGTAGCAAAATTACTGTTATGAAGTAGCAACGAAAATGTGGTTGGGGGTCACAACAACATGAGGAACTTTATTTAAGGGTCACGGCATTAGAAAGGTTGAGAACCACTGGCCTAAAGGATATCTTCCAACTTTTATTAGTATTAATGTTATTGTTGTTGTTATTGAGGCTGGGTGGCCATCTGTCAGGGCTGCTTTGAGTGTGCTCTCCCTGTATGAAGGCAGAATGAAGGGGGTTGGACTAGATGGCCTTTAGAGCTCCCTTCCAACGCCATTATTAATATTAATAAGACTAGATAGCCATTTGTCGAGAGTGCTTTGATTGTGCTTTCCCCGCAAGAAGGCAGAATGAAGGGGGTTGGACTAAATGGCCTTTAGAGGTCCCTCCCAACTTTAGGATTCTGTGAAAGGAATCTTCATCGACCACGAGCCAATAGTGTGATGCTGCAGCTGAAAAGGCCAATGTCGTTTTAGGCTGTCAATAGGAGAAGCCTGAGAAAAGGCAAAAGGGAACTGATATGACACTTTACCTTGGCTGGTTTTTATAATTGCTTTAAATGAGAATTATTTCATGCAACAGTTTATTTTAACTTATTGCCAGCATGATGTAAAGGACCCAGAGTATAAATGAAATTCAAGGGAGAAAGAACAACTGTAATGTACAATGTAAGGTACAATGTCCCTCTCATGGGAACCTGCATGTCATAAGCATTTGAATTAAAATTACCATCTTGAATTCAAATCTGATTTTTAATTTTTTTATTTAGTGTGCATTGGAAGAGGGGTGGTCTTATACGGCGAGTATATCCCAAACTCTATATTTTAACTGAAAAAATTGGGGGTCGTCTTATACGCCCAGTCGTCTTATATGCCGGAATATACGGTATAAGATAACTCACTCTTGTTGAGAATGAGAATTTCTCAGAACATATGGCACTTTTTCAGCCATGCAGATTCAATTCTAGGCCAAATCACAATGCTATACATGTTTATTTTTGTATGGTATCACATATAGCTTTGACTTCAGACAAATACAGAGATCCAATTGCTGAAAAAGTAGATATCTAGGGTAGCATTTTCATCTTAGGCCCTTTCTTAGGCCCCTTTTAGGGCCCCTTCCAGACAGGTCCTATATCCCAGGATCTGATCCCAGGTTTTCTGCTGTAAACTGAATTATATGAGTCCTCATTGCTAGATAATCTGGGATAAACAGAAAACCTGGGGTCAGATCCTAGCCCTTACACTGTCCTATATCCCAGGACTTGATCCCAGGTTATCTGTTTTGAACTGGATTATATGACTCTGTACTGCCAGATAATCTGGGATAAACAGATCATCAGGGATCAGATCCTGGGATATAGGGCCTGTCTGGAAGGGGCCTAAGATGAAAATGCTACCCTAGATATCTACTTTTTCAGCAATTGGATCTCTGTATTTGTCCAGTGGCATACCTTCAACCCTCATTTAAAACTGTATCTGTGTAGCACCATGTTTTGGCCACATAAAGCTGACTAGCTTTAAATTCCTGAATCTGTGGTATGCCCAGTCACATCAGTAAAATGCACCTTTACAAAGGAGGAAACCAATATCATAGAATCATAGAATCAAAGAGTTGGAAGAGACCTCATGGGCCATCCAGTCCAACCCCCTGCCAAGAAGCAGGAATATTGCATTCAAATCACCCCTGACAGATGGCCATCCAGCCCCTGTTTAAAAGCTTCCAAAGAAGGAGCCTCCACCACACTCCAGGGCAGAGAGTTCCACTGCTGAACGGCTCTGTGCTTTTCAGCTTGTATAGCATGTGTTCATTCATGTGTCCGAGGTGTAACTTTCTTTAACTTTGACTTCAGTGAGTATTTTCCCTGTTTTGTTGTTTTCTTTGCTTCATGCTGCTACCTACACAAAGAAGGTTCTTGATGTAAGTATGTAAATGGCTTATGATCTAGTTATGAGTATAGGTTGTAAGTACTGGATGGGTATTTTTTCACAGACAGGTTGAAAATGTAATTTGTACCTGGAAAGGAAATTTCATCTGATATTATTCTTTGTATTATGATAGTGGTGCATAAAAAAGGAGGGCCAGTGTGCTAGATAGAGCCTTGGACTAGAACTGGGGAAACTGCCTTAGTAGCGACCAAGGGGCAGTAATAATTACTCAGAATAATCTACAAATCAAGCAAAATTTAGGGGAGGAATCTTTTTTAAAATCTCTAGGCCTTTGACACGTGCCAGGTTCCTGTTAAACTGCGGTACTTTCTCTACTGTGATGCATTTAATGGTGTTTTAACATTTTTATTTGCTTAAACATGTTTGAATATAATATGTTTTCTTCTGCTTTTATCTGTGCTTTTTAAAAAGTTATTTTTTTCTGTGATCGTTCTTGAACCCTAGTTTCGGGAGATAAGGATTTGTTGATCAAATCTGCTATAGTGAAGTGAAACAAATAGGAGATATGGAAGGCACCTTTTATAGATCTTGAATTCATATGAGGTCACAACCTCTGAGGATGCTTGCCATAGATGCAGGCGAAACGTTAGGAGAGAATGTTTCTAGAATATGGCCATATAGCCTGAAAAACCTACAACAACCCAAATATATACATTTTTTCTTGGTGTTTTGGTTTTTAGGCCTGTTCTTGGCTTGTTTGGAGTCTGATTCAGAAAATTGCATCAGCTCTAGTTTCTTAGATATGGTTATTATGCTTTTCTATTAGCACCAGATGGCAAGTGTTAGATGGTATATGTTCTGTATGTCAAAAACTATGGCTGATAGGGAAATAGTGCCATTTTTGGAAGCAGTGGGTCAAATATACCCAGAACAGGTCTAACATTTGAGGCATCAAAATGTGTGTTGGGCAGTATTAATTGTTGGTTCTCATTATATAAGACATGTTATATGTACATACAGGAATATTGTTCCAGAGACACCCTTGAGGCAGTATATATACACATTTACTATGATTTTTCCTCCAGTAGGATATTGGATGTGATTGTAACATCTGCAAAAATCTTTAAGAATGTACCAGTGACTAGGAATGGGGCAACTTGTGCCCTTCCAGATGTTGCTGGACTGCATCTCCCATTACTCATTGGCAGGGGTTGGCCATATTGTCTGGGACTTCTGAGAATTGAAGTCCTTCAGCATCTGGAGAACCATAGACTCCCTATTCCCAATTTAGGTAGTGTGGTTAAACATCTTTTCATTGTTATCCTTTGTAAAAAGTACCCCAAAACTAAAACCTTTTTTTAACCCCTTCTTTTTCAAGGCTCGAGGTGCAAACAGTCTTGTATTTCTAAGAAATCTTTTGGACAAGTTAAATGCTAATCAGCAAAACATCTTAAAATTTATAGCCTGCAACGAAATCTTCTTGATGCCAGCTACTGTATTTATGCTTTTCAGGTAAGAAATAAACATATTTTAACTCTTAAACTTCAATTATTTTAGCCTCCCAAATAATAAGTAGGAAACAAAAACTGTCAAATGAGTAATTTTGCAATGCTCTTTTGAGAAGCCTATAGATTGAATACTAAAGATCAAGGTAGTGATTTACTCCTAACTAGAATATAAGCTTGGCATTAATACAGGTTGGAGTCTGGAAAAAGTCGTTTGAATTATAAAATTGTAGGATCTTAATCCTAAATTAGTGTCTCCATTTTGCTGTGATTCTGAGCAAACTGGTAATTCCACCACATTGTGAGAAAGGTCTACTCCCAACGAATTTGAACAAATTTGATTTTCTGAGATGAAGCATATTTAACTACTTATTTTCTAAGAACAATATTGAGTAGCTCTGCCACAGAAACACGAAGTAATGTTTCTTTTTGGAAGAATTGCTTATTTATTGATTTAAAACATATTCCGCCCTTCTCATCCCGAAGGGGACTCAGGGCGGATCACAGCATATATATACACACACACACACACACACGACTTAGGACAGATGTGGCGGAAGTGTGTCCTTCCAGATGTTATTGGCCTACAAATTCCAGTGTTTCTCATCCTTGGCTGTTCTAACTAGGATTGCTAGAAATTGCAGTCCAGTGATTGCAACTTCACCCACTTAATTCTTTGCTAACTATTTTCTAGATTTTTAAATGATAATTGCTATACTATAGTATGGGGACAGAACCTAATGTTTTAAATAGTAAAAAATAGATACTGGAATCTTACCTTTTCTTATATAAATACTGCTTGTATAGTGTTTGTCCATTTGTGATAGAGACAACGGTGCAATTTGATAATTTAAACCGTGGACTTAAGTGTCATGTGGTAGTTTGCTTTTGACAGTCATGTATATTATTTCATTTGTGAACCACACAATGTTTTCCCTCTATTGCCTGAATCTATGTACCTTGTGTTACATAACTCTTTTTACATTTCTAATATATTAGAGTGAACCCTTTCCCTCCTGATAATGAAAAAAGGAGCAGCAGCTCAGAGTATATGCAATATACATGGTAAACTCGCTTAAGTGATAGAGCCATGGTGAAATTGAGTTGAAAAGGACTATTGTTTTAAAAAGTGAAACATGTCACTTGTTTATATATTAAGATTGAAAATAATGAAGTTAGCATCTGTAGATATGTATATGCCAAGTTGGTTGTCCCATTACTATGAGGTAGTTCAGCATTACTAATAATCAGTAATGTGGTAAACAGTATCAGTTGGTTCCAGCATAATTTAAAAGCTCATGTGATCAGATATGATACAGACATTTATGTGAACATGAAGGTATCACCTCAACGTGTCTTGCAACAATCATTTGGATTGCTCATAATATTAATTGTAACTGTAATTATCATTGTTGCTTTCAAGCTATTAGCATTTGTGATGCGTTTTTGACAGTTCGTAGCTCAAAAGCCTAGCGCCTTTGTTAACTTTTTGAAGATTTTTACTCTTTCACTTATTTTTTAGAGAGGCGGGGACTAGACTATGTTCATTTTGGGATTGTAGAAAAAGATTCAGATCAAGTACAACTGTTTCTTGTGCATTTCTAGAATTTGCAAGGAACCATAGCAAATTGTGAAAGAAAAGGGTGTACTTAAAGGGTCTTCTGCCATCTCGTGGCATTAATGTCCTCTCTCTCTTCCTAGCCCACACTTCTACCTTGGGGGTGAGGGAAATCTTCCGAAAAGATTTCGGGGTGTTGGAACTCATTCATATCCTGCACAAGATTGTAGTCCTCATCAAGGACTGAGATACGCAGATGAGTTAGATGGCAGGGAAACACCCTTCATCTATTGGCCCCTCTATCTGCCTGTTTTCCTTTCTCTCCTCATGTAATCTTTCTTGTTAGACTGATACTTCTCAGGAACGTGTCTCTTTTTCTGATCACATGGCAGGCCCTTGGGTTCTCCCATTTTCTTTTCCTGTTAGCATGGAGAGATATTGAGTAGCTGAGAGTGAGATAGATAGATCGATAGATAGAATAAAGTTTTTTTATAACTTTTTAAGCTTGACTCTACTCCTGAATTTCATAATTGCTCTCCTGCTGGCACTAGAAGCTTCTGATCTGTTGAACTGCTGCTAATGCTGTTGTTGCTTCTTGTCCGCTTTTGAATGTTTTCTTTTCTTTTTTGGAAATTACCCTCACCCCTCAAAAAAGAGGGTAGGGGAAAAGCCTCTTCGCTGATGGTCTTTCGGAAGAGATTAAAAACATGGTTGTGTAAACAAGCATTCAATTAGTTTGTTACTATTGAATTTATAGACTAAGGACTGGTTAACTATGGATGACGAACTCTGGACTGTGATTTTTTACGAGATGCATGGGATTGTTATTGGTGGCCCAATAACTTGTATTGTATATGTGTTTTATGCTTTTAAATTGAATATTGTTTTTTAATTGTTGTAAACCGCAATGAGTCGCCGATTTAGGCTGAGATATTAGCGGTATACAAGCGCATTAATAAATAAATAAAATAAATAAATAAATAAAAGATTACTACTGTTGTACTAGTGGACATCTGTCTATGTAAAATTGATTTTGGCTCAGTACTAGAATACTTTTGCCCTGTTTCTTGGAAGTAGGACCCACTGAACTAACTGGTCTTTATTATCAACTAGCTTGGATACCCGGTGTCGCTTGGGTTAATTGTACAAAATGCATATGGTTGTGGATTAACTACAGTTGACATCATGCCAGGTTAACACCAAGAAACTCACATCAGTTCTTAAGTTTGTTATGTTGGGCAAGTTTGCTCTAGATGCATCATTGGTGGGGTTCAGTGTGCTCTCTGGCTGTAGGGTAAACTACAACTCCCACTATGGTGAGTCAGTCCCCTCAAACCCCTCCAGTAGATTGAGTTAGTCATGGGGGTTCTGTGTGCCAAGTTTGGTCCAGGTCCATCATCGGTGGAGGTCACAGTTTCTCTGGTTGTGGGTGAACTACAACTCCCAGAAAGGAAGGTCACTTTTCCCAAAACCCTTTCGGTAATCAAATATTGGCTTATCAGGTATGTGTGCCAAGCTTGGGCCAGATCCATCAGTGTTTGGGTTCACAGTGCTCTCTGGATGTAAGTGAACTACAAAACCCCCAAATCAATGTGAATTTCCCTTAAAGACCGCCAGTATTTTTTGCTAGTCGTGGGGGCTCTGTTTGCCAAGTTTGGTCCAATTCCATCTTTGGTGAAGTTCAGAGTGCTCATTGATTGCAGGGGAACTATAAATTCCAGTACCTACAACTCCAAAATGTCCAGGCCAAGTCCATCAAAATTCACCAATATTCAAATTTGGGCATATCAGGAATGCATGCCAAATTTGATCTAGATCCATCATTGTTTGCGTTCTTAGTGCACTCTGGATGTAGGTGAACTACAACTCCTATAAATCCCTCCAAAGACCTTCAGTATGTTTTGTTGGTCATGGGGGTTCTGTGTGCCAAGTTAGTTCCAGGTCCATTGTTGGTGGAGTTCAGAATGCTCTTAGATTGTAGGTGAACTATACATTCCAGTACCTACAACTCCTATAAATCATGGTGAATTCTCCCCAAATCTCTCTAGTATGTTCAGTTGCTGATCAATTCCTCTGTGTGTCATAGAAAAGAATAGGAAAGGGTTAAGGGGGAGGCAGTGGGTGGGGTCATGCAAATTCCACACCAGTGGAGGGATCAGAAACACTTGAGATGTCTGTCGTGGAGGAAAAACTGCCCCCGTAATAAAGCCTTCACTTGGATGGTGGTCAGCATGGTGTGTGTGGAGGACATTGGTAGGGTTCTTGGACATGTTAATGGCACTCCCTGTAAACTGCAATGTCATTGGAGGTAGGGCCATTGGTATCTCCTGAATAGTGGGAGCTATAGCTGTTTATGGAGGCAGGAGCTTGTATGTGTAAATGGACACCCCAGCCACACACACACATACACATATTTTCACTTTTATTATGTGTATATATTAATATGCATAGGGTTGTTTTATAGAAACCTTCCAGTCCTTTACCTGGGAGTATATTCTACTGAATGCAATGGGGATTTCTTCCTGGCACTTCATATAATGCTAAATTTTATGTATTTGGAGTGGGGGCACTGATCTTAATATTTCAGCTATTGCAACAACTGATTGCCGCACATTTGCCTATGAATATACAGTGAAAACAATGTTAAAACATTTAGAGATAAAGGATTTTTTTGTTGTAAGCAGACTGTTTGTGATGAAAAATATGTAAATGATGAAATTTACTGAAAATCCTTTATTCTCTTAACCTATTGTCTCCACTCCACATTTTTCCTTTTGTTCTTGCAGTGGGCAGGGAAGCTTGCTGCAGCCTTTCATTTATTACAGATTTCTTACACTCCGTTATTCCTCCCGCAGAAACCCTTATTGCCGGTAAGAACCTAATTAAGATGTTCATGCAGTTGTGGCTGTATGCTAGAAATATAATACTTTTGCAGCTGGTTCCTAGATGCAGTTTTACAATGGATTAAAATAATTTTATAGTGGTTATTGTAATTGAAAATAATAAACAAAACACAAATTGCTTCCACCTTTTCCAAATATGCTTCAGGACATTATGTGCAAATAAATACATGGCAGAAAAGCCATGGCTTAGTTCCGAATATATGAATACCAACGGCCCCAAATGTTATCTCTGGCATTTCCAGTTAATTGGACTCTATGGGCTGACAATTCAATCTGGAGCGACGCCTCAGCAACTGTTGAGCACAGGCCTGCCGAATGTACTAAACATTGATCTCCATTTCTGCAGATGGATTTCTAGATTTGAGAGCTGCGAGCTAGGGAGGAATCTGCGACAAAGCTTGCAATATATGATCTCTTAACAGGAGTTCACAATGCCAATTAAATATCAATAATCCTGGATTCTCAATCTGAGTCCCTCCGGACTCAATTTTTCCATGATTATTATAGAGCATCCTCAATTCTTACCTGTACATGCTCAGAAGTAAGCTTTATTAAATTCAGTGATGCTTATTCCCTGGCAAGTGTGCATGGAATTTAAGAGATGCGTTCGTTTTGAATTTAGTTTTTTGTGACGTTGTGCAAAAGCTATCATGTTCCTTAAAAAAAAACCTGTTCTTTTTTAGGACTCTATTTACAGAACTGCGGATTGTTGTTGAACATGTCATAATGAAACCTTCCTGCCCTGTATTTGTACGAAGACTCTGTGTCAGCAGCATTTCCTTTATAAGCAGATTGGCACCAACAGTTGCATAGCCAGCACTGGAAATGTACTTCCGTGTGTCTAATGAACATTTTGGGCAGCTGGTCTTTCTGCTGGTGATTTATACATTCAGGATCTCAGTCAAGGTTGTATGAAAAATGTTGTTTTCTTCCAAGAACCTGTTCTGTGAGTTGTATCCTATGTGTCTTAAAAAAAAAACCCTCCAAGAAACCTTTGTTTTTCAAGATGTTTCTGTGCTTTGTGGAAGATGAATGTCTGCTATCTTAGACAAAATATTTTCAAGGCAAAAAAAGAAACACAAATCAACATTGTATAATATGGCTTAGTTGCTTTCAAGTAGGTTCTCATAAATACTGAAAGAAAATACTTATTCAGAAAGAAAGAAAAAAATCACTGTTCTTCCTGATTATGTCTAATAGGTTGTAAGATGTTGCCACATCATAAATGTGATAACATTTCTTAGGGATAGCATTTGGAATATCTACACATGTGGTACTTTTGAGTCAGTATTCTTTCCAGTCAGTAACTCCGCTGAGTCAATCATTGTACTCAGTACATATAAATTGGTATCCGCTCTGTGAACCATAGCTCTAAGCATCTAATTTTGTGGATCCGATATATTTGATGCTTTTGAAATTGAAAGCTCTCTACCTTGCCACAAACATATTTCTTTGTCAAGATTTCCCCAGGCTTTCTAAGTGTCTTGCTTTTTTACTGTATTTTCCAAAAGCAAAAAATACCACTCTTTGAAAAATCTGAATAATGGCTTGTGAGTTTTTTGGGCTGTATAGCCATGTTCCAGTAGCATTCTCTCCTAATGCTACTGGAACATAGCCATACAGCCTGAAAACTCACAAAAACCCAGTGATTCTGGACATGAACGCCTTCGACAACACAAATCTGAATAATGATGGACAATTTTGAAACTTCATCCAACTATCATTTCAACACTGCACATTCTCTGAAGTGATGTAATGCCAGAGTGGTAAAACAATATCTCAATGCAATTACATTGTGAAATCAATGGACCTTGCTTCCAAGTAATTGACTGTGTAGGGGCAGCATATCTGTAATGGAGGATCCCTGCTACTACTCACCATGTATGAATGTATAGCTGCAAATGTGCTGCACCAGACAATAACAGTAATGGGCTGTGTGTCTCATGCCCTTGCTTCTCCCTGCTCTTGGCCAAAAAGCAAGAGGATTGGGAAATATAGCTTTGCTGAGGCCATTAGGTTGCTTATGTGCTTGCAGAGGGATACATCCAGCCCGTTGTGTTTAATGCAAAGGGGCAATTACTATCTAAAGAAGTTGAAGAAAGGCTGCAGTTCGAGCATGGCTATTCTGTTCCCAGTTAGAGGTGAAATACAGGGTGAGGCATGAAAATCTCCCACATTTTGAAGGTGTAAAAAATGAATGGAACTATCTAGAAAACAAATGCATATATTTCTGAAAAGTACATAAAACAATTTTGTTTTAATTGTTTTAAAAATCATATAATAATAATAATCATCATCATCATCATCATCATCATCATCTTTATACTCTGCCACCATCTCCCCAATGGGGACTCGGGGCAGCTAACATGAGGCTAAGCCCTTCTACAAATACAATCCAACACAGTAAATTCCAAATATTAGACAAATCATTTTGTAAGGATGCAGTTTTAATTCAGCATGCAAAATCCTCCGCAAATTCTGATGTGATTGCACCGGTATCATGGCATACTTATGCATTTCAATGGAGCCTTGGAAGCATGGGGAAACTCTGGCCCTCCATGTGTTTTGGACCTCAACTCCCACAATTCCTCTGTTAGTCATTCTAGGAGTGGAAGTCCAAAACACCTGAAGGGCCAGAATTTGCCCTTGCGTGCTCTAACTGGTTCCACTTTTTTTTGGCATTCTGACAATACTAGGTCTGCCAGGGATTTTTTTTTCTCATGTGGATACAGTTACCCAAAGATTAGAAATCCATAGCAAAATCATTGTCTAATCTGGGCACTGATGCATTTCAACTGAGCGTGAAGCATATATGGAGCATTTCTGTGTCGTTTTCACAGAACAGTTGTTTTCAGATCCCAGATGTTCACTGGTCCAACTCATGATGGGTAGTGAAAACGGCAAAGTCTTCCTTACCAAAGTAGACCTAGCTCATCTTTCTATCCCCACTACAACCCACTCAATGCCCTCTCAAAATATGGGAGATCCTTAGGCCTTATAATAATAATAAAACTTTATTTATATTCCGTTCTATCTTCCCAAGGGGACTCAGGGCGGATTCCTTACACTGTAATGCCAACATTCTTTCTAAATGCATTTCAGCACAAGAAGGTAGAATGGCACCATTGCTTTGACTCATATTAGTCGCCCTAAATACATTCTGACAGTCTGGTTTCTATAATAAACAATGTCCTGAACTCAAGTTAGCACTTCTTGACATAACCATTCCTGCATTTTCAAATACAACTTTTCATGTCCTTTTCCTCCTGCTTTAATTTTTGCGTATAGAATCCTGGCATCCCAATGAAACCCTTCCTGGTGCATTTTTTAAAATGCTGCACATTTCTCCGAAATAGCCTGTTATTTCAGACTGTATGGTGTATTTATACCAGATTAAAATAATGGAAAAGGTGCTTGTATCTCTCAGCTGTAACCCACTCCTGAGAAATATTTTGAAAAGGCTTCCATAGTAAGTCGTTCATAGTTCTGAACTGAGCTATAATTTTCAATAATGTTGCGGCCCATTCCTTTTGGGCATTCTTTTTGATATACTTCCAGTGGAATTTATGGGGGGCTACTTTCAAATAATTGTGTTGCCAGCCTGACTGAAAAAATGTGTTTTGATACTAGGGAAAGTAGGATGTAGGCATCATTAATTCCAGGGAATAGACATGTTCCTGCTTTCATCTTGCACTATAGTTTCTGATGGAAGCTTGCAGCAAACAGATATGTGCACATCTTGCTTCTTTTCCTTCATTCGTTATAGTGAAAGTAGAAGGTACGGGGACATCTGCTTGCTGCAGGTAATTAAAATCTGTATTTTAAGATTGAGAAATTACTGGTGTCAGCATTATTCCATTCATTCTTCTAAGATGCTTCATAACTCTTTGTCTCATAACTCTGCACGAACTGATATGCGACATGTTTGGGCATTGCACCACTGTTCTACAAAAAAAAATCTTACTATCTAATGATCTGCTTTTTCTTTTATTAGAATGTGAATTCTATTTAAATTAAACTCATTCATTAACTTGTTAATAGCCAGCCTTGTACATTGCTTGCTAAATCTCCAGCTGTGAAAAATGCAGTGATTTAAAAATTGGGCTGAAATAATGCTGCTTGATTGTGTTCCTATAGGCATATTGGCTCTGGCATCTATTTATGGAGAAAATGCATAACTGTGTGTGAAGGAAGGCTTAATGAGGTTTTCATCTAGCATCTTTACCCTGTTTTCAGGATTTTATAAAAACGAACATTTCTGTAGCAATAAAGTGAATGTTTCAGCAGTAGGCTGGCATGCAATGTCTCAACCTTTCCAACCTTGTTGCAGTGTAATACCTAAAAGCTGAGCATGATTCTCTAATGGAGGAGAAAATGCAGAATAAGTTGCTATCTATGTGTTTGGGGCGATTAGATACACACAGCTAGTCAGCCTGGAATGATCACGTGTGTTCTCATTTTGGAGGTCCTGTCACAATTCAGTTGACTTAACATTCAGTTCTCACCCACAATTTGCACAGATCTTTTGGTTGGTGAGATTCTGTATTCGTTATGTAAACGAATGTTGTATCTTGCAGAAGGTACATCTGAGAGATGTTAGACTTTTCTCTCTTGATTATGGTTTTCTGTTTTAGGATTTCCATTTAAATAAATTCCATACATGTTCTCTTTACGACAACTGGCACGCACAATTTCTTAAATTCCCACAGGCGTCTTGGAGTAGTCTTGAGTTTTAAAACTTTAGATTGCTGCATCCCATTCTACAGTAAAACAGTTTTACTCATATGTACTCTTTTGAGTTCTTGAAACCTGCTCACCTGTTCGTATTCTGTGGCAGGAATGGGGATCATATTAAACTATAACTCCCACAATCCCCCATTAGGCTAGTTGCAGACGATGAGGGGCCCAGTCCTGCATTTGAGTAGCCTCTCTCCCAACCCTGCTCCATGGTCAAGTTTTTTATAATTTGTGCTTTTTTTGGTGTCAGGAGCAACTTGAGAAACTGCAGATCGCTCCTGGTGTGAAAGAATTGGCCGTCTGCAAGGATGTTGCCCAAGGGACACCCAGATGTTTTGATAATTTATCATCCTTGTGGGAGATTTCTCTTATGTCCCCACATGGGGAACTGGAGCTGACAGAAGGAGCTCATCTGTGCTGACTCTGGATTCCAACCTCCGACCTGTCAGTCTTCAGTCCTGCCAGCACAAGGGCTTAATCCACTGCACCACCGGGGGGGGGGGGGTCTTATATAATCTGTGTTGTACAGAACATTCTCCACCATGAAAATGAAATGCTAAATCCTATTGGGAATAGCTGTTGTGTGGTTGGGACAAAATGAGAGCATTGCTCCCTCAATAAGAGCCTCCTCCCTCATTAAGTTTTCCTTAATTTCCCAGATTTCCATTGTTTTACTAGATTAAAACTTCAGTTGAAGCATCCAGAACAACTGTGCAAGCAAAGTGACCAAGTGTAAATACAGCAAATATCAGTTCTAGATGTGACATTTTCAATGTTGCATTCTCTGCAATGCTAGAAATTAAGAAAAAATTCACGGGGAGACAGAATTCTTACTAGGGGATTGGGGGTACAATGTTCTCCTTCCCTTTCCCCCAGTACTCTATGGAACCTATGGAGGTCACATTTACATAGTCTCTTTCAATCGTTTTTTGAAATGTGCATAATCTTCTAATTTGCATACATTTGACATGCTTGAAATGCTTTCTGTTTATATAATTTCCCCTACTATGAATGACAGATGGATACAGTAGTCTTCCCACATCCCCAGCATTGAAAGTTTTTATCTAACTGGATTATGAAATGTCAGTAAGGCTCACATGTATGGGACAAGACTATACTATCTTTGTGGCCACCAGGACTAAAAACATGCTTTAAACATTTACACCAAGACTCTTTGAGTACAGTTGTCTGACCATATCTGTTGGGGATTGGTTCCAGGACCTCCTGCAAATATGAAAATCACAAATGCTCAAA